GGAGGGAAGGAGGGAGGGAGCAAGGGAAGAATGGTGACGGGGGGGCTTTTGTTCATCTCTAAATAATTCTTGGCCAAGGGGAAATAAAGGGATCTGATAAAATAGTTGCCTTAGGTAGAGGGAGTATCCGTCCATCTTCCTGCTGGGTTTGGGCAACAGAGGATAAGGGAGGAACCTGCGCCTGTTCCGAGTCTACCCCAGGCCCTTCCCCCCGCTTTAATGCCACCCCAGTACCTTGAAATGTTCCAGCTAAATCCCTCTCTCTCTCCTTCCCTCCCACCCTCTCTCCCAAACGAATGGCCCGTTACGCCCCTGCCATGACGAACATGTCAGACAGGATTCATTCTTCATTGGGATGGTCTCCTGGGGGTAATAAAACAAGTCACCAGACAATTTTAATATAATAAGAAAAGCTAACACTTGTACAGCGCTGTCTCCCTGCCAGGTAAAAGCCTTTACACGTATCGACCTGTTTAATCCTTACAGGAACCCCAAGAAGTAGGTTACTATTTTTACACCCACTTTAATAGACGTGCAAATATAGGCACAAAGAAATTAAGTCATTTTCCCAGGGCCACGCAGCTCGTAAGTAGCGGAAACAGGCTCCCAAGGCAGACAGCGGCCACGGGGCCCTTGGCCTCCGTCTCCAGGCTGGCGTCCAGCAAGCAGGAGAGGAAGGGCCCCAGCCCAGCGCCCTCCCTGGAGGCAGGCGCAGGAACCGTGTTTGACAGTGAGGAAGCCGGGTCCGGGGAAGGGACGCCAGGCGTCAGCCCGGGAGCTGGGACGCAAAGCAGGTCTGCCTACCTGCTAGGCCCCCCCGCTGCACGGCCCGGGAGAGCGTGAGTGCAGGCGTGCGTGCGAGTGTGCGAGGTGGTGCAGCGCTGGCGAAAGCGCGATGATTTGACCGCCGAGCGTTGGCAGGAGTGCGACCTGCCCCCAGCGCCAGGTGCTTTCTCCACTCCCCGCCGCTCCTCCCCTGAGCCTCTGTAAGGGCACCGCTGGTGGGGCCCCCTCGGGCTCAGCTACATCCAGGGACGCCTCCGTCATCCCACACGCCCAAGCACACGGACATCATGCCCCCACCACCATTTGGGCTTCTCCAGTCCCCCCTCCACCCCACGCCTCCGACCCTCACCTCCCTCCTCGAGTGCCAAGGTGCCATTTTCAGAATGGAAACTGAGGCTCGGCGAGGCTGCCTCTACACGAGCCTGTCCAATAAAAATATCATGCAAGCCACACACGCGATTTTATTTTAGTCCTCACTGGAGGATATTTTCTCCATTGCTTTTCAGAGACAGTGGAAGGGGGAGAGAGAGAGAGAGAGACATCGATGTGAGAGAGACACATCGATTGCTTGCCTCCTGCACACACCCCAACCAGGGCTGGGGATGGAGCCTGCAACTCAGGCACGTGCCCTTGGCTGGAAGCGAACCTGGGATCCTTCAGGACTGAGCCAACACTCTAACCACTGAGCCAACCGGCCAGGGCACACACAGGCAATTTTAAATATTCTAGTAGCCACATTAAAAAGGTAAAAACAAACATTAATTTTCAGAATATGTTGCACTTGACCCAATATACTAAAAATATTGTCATTTTAGCATGGACTTAGTGTAAATGACCATTATACTGAAATATGTGATATATTTTGCACAACAAGTTTCCAGCACCCAGCATGTTTTACACTGAAGCACAGCTCAGGAGGGAGGGGCCGCGTGTCGGGCCCACCATGCGGGGGAATGAAGTTCCGCGGGTGGCACTTGCGCAGCCGTGACTGCGGCATGATTAAGGACCAGGCGCTGGGCACTGGAGAGAGATGAATAAGCCACGGGCCCCGCGAAGGTGTTGAATCATTTTTTAATGCGACTTGGGTGAAAAATGGTGTAGCTCAGCTTCCATTAAAAGACAATAGCCATTGCCTCTGCCTAAGGCATTTAGAGTCTAGCAGATTTCTACACTGGCTTAATCCATGAGCCGTGAGGGGTAATGAACTTCTGTAGAAAGAAATTGGGGCACTGAAATCAGACGTGAGTTCTAATTCCTGGTCTCACGAATTAGCTGCGTGGGCTTGGGCAAGGCACCTAACCTCTCTGAATTCATCTTTAAAAGAGAGGCAATATTTCTCAGCTCACAGGGTTATTATGAGGGAAGGTATATATAGTGCGTGTAAACAGCACAAAGCCGAAAGAGATGGTGCGGGCACAGTCATTTAGTCAATGCTGGCCCAAGTTTATCGGGGAGAAAAGGGAGTGCCGATGGGTGGTGACTCCCTGCCTTATGTGACATCCCAGGGAGGGGGCAGCCACCCAGGGCGTCTAGCCTCTGAGTGTCCATATAATCTTACGGGGCCACAGGCCAATTACAGGCCCACTTGGAGATGATTTGCTCGAATGGAAAAGGGCCCCCTTTGCTTGCATTTTAATATGAAATTGTTGATTCTGTGACCTAAAGTACAGCCATTAATTATTCAGGGCTGCTCAAGTAATTCCATTAAGGAGCTGAGAGAAAGTGAGAATGGTCAGAGACTGGCAGGAGAAAAGAAGGGAACCATAAGGTCCCTTGTCCTTGCTTCATGAGCCCCTAGTTATTCTGGTCCTGAATGATCTGAGATGCAGCCATGAAGATGGGCTGAGCACATACCTCGGCGGGATAGGCTCCGCTCTGGGCGCTGTGTATGCAACAACCCATCTAGTCTTCACTGGGGGACTGAGAGCTAAGAATCATGTCGGTTTTACAGAGGGCAAACCAGCCTTCAGGATGTCAACGCTGCTTATCCAAGATCACACAAGTTACAAGTGGCAGAGCCCCCAAATTTGAACCTAGCTTTTGTCTCACTGAAAACCCTCTCTGCTCATGAAAAGATTAATCGTCAGGGAGATGCAAATCAAAACCAAAGGCAAACAACCACTTCATACCTACTAGGTTGACCATAATCAACATAACGGGAAAGGAACAGGTGTTAAAATAGGTGTGGAGAAAGTGGAACCCTCATATGTTGCTGGTGGGAACGCGAACTGGTGCAGACACTGTGGAAAATAGTTTGACAGCTCCTCAAGGAGTCAAACCCCAAATTATCACGTGACCAGGCCATTCTGCCCTAGGGATATCCCAAAAGAATTGAAGACAGGGCATTCCAATAAATACCTGTACATGAATGTTCATAGCAGCACTATTTACAACAGTGAAAAGGTAGGAAAACCCCCAAATATCCATCAACTGATAAATGGATAACCAAAATGTGGTATATCTATATAATGGAATATTATTCAACTGCAAAAAGGGAATGCTGCCATGGTACAATGTGGACGGACCTTGCAAACATTGTGCTAAGTGAAGGAAGCCAGACGTCAGAGGTCAT